ATTCATTAAACAATAAAAGCAACACATAGACCAAAGGACCTTCCATACCACTGACCCACATATATTCTGTGAGAAAGACAATGCTGTCCTAAAATGGCCAAGATTTTTTATAATAAATTGTGCAACATTAGGAAACTAGTACAGTAGAATTGAAAACAAAGGTAGTATACAGTGAATTTTCTTAAAATTTGAATGCCATCACATATTTATGTTACAAATCATTTAAAGAAAAATAACATCATGCTGTTGGCTGAATTAGCTGTTTAATGTTCATGTAGCTTTTCTACAGTTTACAGACTAGTGACTCTCTTTAAACCCAAAGGCTTGATTCTACATCATCTAAAGAAAAACAAGAAATATCTTGATGCTGCTGCTTGTATCTTAATTAAGCATCGTTCTGTGTGGGCAATAAAAATTTATAGAGACCCTTGGGTCACAATAATCAAGCTGGTGTTGATACTGCTACTAATATCAATATTGGACAAGATGAACACTAGATGCATGCTATATATCCAGAGATAATAGACAGTAAATAAAAGGACTCATACTTGAAGCTTTCTTAATTCATTGCACATAAATAGCTTATATAGTTGTTAGACTGCATTTTCCTAACAGGTGAGGAATTTAAGGTTTGGGAAACTAAAACCTTTGATTTGGGAAAATCAATATTAAAAATCAGAATTTTGGTCCAGGTCTGTGTGATGAAAGAATGGTTGTCTTTGACTGTCAACGTGTTAAAAAGATATTTAAAGATAATGTAATATGTCCATTTTAGGTTGGTTGCCAGAAATTTAGGCAAAATTATTTTAAAGGCTCATCTAATGTCTGCAAGGTATTTGAACTAGCCAGTTAATTTTCAATTGGTTTATAATTTAAACTATATTTTTTACATGTATCAAGTGCTTCGTTTCATAAATGTTGATGTTAATCAATGAAAGGAGCAACAAATCATAAATGAAATACAAAAGAATAGAGACCAGAGTCACTTTGTATGCTCCACCAGACTCTAACCGCAAATTTATCGCATTTTCTTACTGTTGCCAGTTAGGTGTTGAAGTCTAGTGGTCATCATGAATGACACAGATGTCATTCATGAAGCCTGCAGTTAAGTTATCCCAAAGTGAGTTAATATGGATGAGTTGCCCTCATTAAACAATAGTATTGTTTTGACTTTTTCATGATTCAGTTTACATTTTAATACACCTCCTTTAGTCATCTGACTTCATTCAAGACCAGGAAAAAAAATTCCTTGGTTAGAATCATTTAAATATTTTAGTTTTACCTTAGTTTAATTTTTTTTTCTGTGTACCTTACCCACAGAAAGAGAGGTGGGATGGGATGGGCTTTGGCCTTGCAGCAAACAGAGTTTCTCTGTTCCAACATGGTTAGATTCCTAACTTCGAATATGCTACAAACACTAGGTATTAGAGTTCCTTTTACAGGTGAAACTTACAAATCTACTTAGACAGGACAGGCATACAGCAGTTCACATATTTCTTCAAGGATTTTTTTTTTCATTACAGGATGCTATCTTTAAAGGGTTTGAACATATTAACAGATGTACTGTAGTTTAAACACACAAAACATACAGATATATCACTTTCACACACACCATACATACACATATGTACCCACCACCCACCCACATAACACCTCCAACCCTACAAGCACACACACTCATATGCTTCACACACCATTCAGAAAAATTATTGATTGGAAAAGGGTATTTCCAATGTGGAAAGTCCCTTATATTTATGATTGGCTACCAAGAAAATATGCTACAGTACATGACTTTCTATGTGGTTCATTTTATCTGCTATATTTCTTTAAGAAATTGGGCAAGAAAAATAGAGGTCAGTAGTGAAACTCTGGGAACAGCTATGTCACCTCTTAAAGGAATTCTCTCAAAGTTTCATCGTATAATTGTAGGTTTTAAACTCATGCAAATAAATGTTTCCTTGTTAAGTACATAGATTTACTAAGTATCTGATTGATGATAGGTGCAATAAGTATCAGAGAACAAATTACTAAATTGGTAATCATATTTTACTTCTAGCTACAAACAGTATTAGGTCTCAACAGGGAAAAGCATGGTTATACTTTAAACTGCAGTTGAAATGGACCAATCTTTCTAACTAGACAAAGACTCAGTCAATACATTAAGAACCCAGGAAGAAAAAGTTTGGTGACAGGGTGGCTCATTTGCTAAGAACCCTGGTGGCTTTTCCAGAGGATTTGTGTTCAATTACTAGCACCCACAGTGAAACTCAAAATCCTCTGTAACTCCAGTTCCAGAGAATCCAATGCCCTCCGTGGCCTGCACAAGACATACATATATGTAGACAAAATACCCATACAGAGAGAAGAAAACTTAAAAAAAATCTATGCATTAGGTAATACAATTTAGATAGTGGTTCTCAACCTTCCTAATGCTGTGTTCCTTTACTATAGTTCCTCATGTTGTGGTAATCCCCAGTCATAAATTACTTTTGTTGCTCTTCATAATTATAGTTTTGATACTATTATCAATTTTAATGTATCTGATATCTGATATGTGACCCTTGTGAATGAGTCAGTTAATTCCCCAAAAGGGGTGTGACCAATAGGCTGAAAACCACTGTCCTAGATAGTTTTGCATTTATTTTTATATAAAAAATCTAAAACTATAATATATCCTTAAATAAGGCTTTATCCTTATTTTAGAATACAAAGATGATTTGTTTTATATTTTTGACTTCCAAAGCAACATTATATTTTCATAAATTATTTAAAAACTAATATTTGAATTTGTGATAATGTTACAGCAAACAGAAAACCCCATCCTCTAGGATGTTTGGTTACATTTTCCTAATGTATATCGGAAATTTAGAAGATATTTGTACATTTGTGTTTGTGATTTTGTTCTTCCATAGGACAAGTATTCTGAAGACTGGAAATCCAATAGGAAAAGAAATCATAGTTTTAGTACTTTGAAAAACTGATTTATACAGAAACATGATTTCTGGTGTACACTAGTGAAAGAACTTCATTTGATTATTTCTTTTTTATTGATTTTATTGAGCTCTACATTTTTCTTTGCTTCCTTCCCTACTTCTCCCCTCCCATTCAACCCTCTCCCAGGGTCCCCATGCTCCCAATTTACTCAGGAGATCTTGTCTTTTTCTACTTCCCATGTAGATCTATGTATATCTCTCTTAGGATCCTCATTATTGTCTAGGTTCTCTGGGATTGTGAATTGCAGGCTCATTTTCTTTGCTTTATGTCTAAAAGCCATTTATAAGTGAGTACATATGATATTTGTCTTTCTGTGTCTGGGTTACCTCACTCAATATGATATTTTCTAGATCCACCCATTTGCCTGCAAATTTCAAGATATCATTATTTTTTTCTGCCGTATAGTACTCCATTATGTAAATGTAGCACATTGTCCTTATCCATTCTTCTGTCACGTGGCATTTAGGTTCTTTCCAGGTTCTGGTTATGACAAACAATGCAGCTATGAACATAGTTGAGCACATGTCCTTGTGGTACAATTGAGCATTCTTTTGATATATACCCAAAAGTGGTATTACTGGGTATTAAGGAAGGTTGTTTCTAATTTTCTGAGAAATTGCCATACTGATATCCTAAGAGTCTGTACCAGTTTTCACTCCAAGCAGCAATGCAGGAGTGTTCCCTTTACCCCACAACCTCTCCAGCAGAAGCTGTTATCAGTGTTTTTGATCTTGGCTGTTCTTACAAGTGTAAGATGGAATCTCAGGGTTGCACAAAATTCAAGTCAAATCAACCTCAACATAAAGCCAACCACAATGAAAATCATAAAAGAGAAAGTGGAAAGTACACTTGGATGAATTGGCACAGGAGAGCATTTTCTAAATATAACTTTAGTATCACAGACTCTGAGAGAAACAATTAATAAATGGGACCTCCTGAAACTGAAAAACTTCTGTAAAACAAAGGACATGGTCGACAAAACAAAATGGCAGCCTACAGAATGGGAAAATATCTTCACCAACCCCACATTAGACAGAAGAATGATCTTCAAAATATATGAAGAACTCAAGAAATTGATCATCAAAAGAATAAATAATCCAATAAAAATGGGGTATAAATCTATAAAAAGAACTCTCAACAAAAGGATCTAAAATGGCTAAAAGTCACTGCAGGAAATGCTCAACATCCTTAGCCATCAGAGAAATGCAAATCATTTGAGTATTTCTGATATTCTTCCTGTCATTCCCAGCCACTGGTGTCTACTGTAGCTATCAAATCTCTACCCTTCAAACACAGTGCGGTACTGCATCATTTCCTTTCTTTCATACCAAAGGAATTGTTAAGAAAAACTGAAAATTTAAGTCAATAATTAATAATATTAGGTAGTTTTATATTTTTATTTCCCATGAATGTTGTGGTAAATATATAGACTATTTAATAGCAGAGAAAATTTGAGTTAGTCTTTTATTGCTATTTGGAATGTAACTCTCTTTAATTGCACTTTAAATTTTTCTCATAGGGGCTGGAGAGATGGCTCAGTGGTTAAGAACACTGCCTGCTCTTCCAAAGGTCCTGAGTTCAATTCCCGGCAACCACATAGTGGCTCACAACCATCTGTAATGAGGTCTGGTGTCCTCTTCTGGCCTGCAGACATACACACAGACAGAATATTGTACACATAATAAATAAATAAATAAATAAATATTAAAAAATAAAATTTCTCATATTTTCATTAAAATTGTTGATTATCTTATTTTTCCTTATTTTTTCTTATCCCCATGCACAGAAAGGCAGTACATAATACAAATAATAAAGTTATGCAAGAACAGTATGTCAGAAATAGATAATGACTTGTTTTAATTTAATCTCATCAAACAAACAAACAAAACATAAACCAGATTTCATGGAAGTGATGAGAAGCAATTTACAAAGTATATGTTTAGGGATATGAAAAGAACTGATTATAACTTTAGCATGTATCATATGTAGTTTTTTTTTTTATTTCAAGGCACATTTAATTTAATATCAAGAATTCGATACAAAAGGCCCAAATACAATGAAGGAACACATTCCCCCATTTAACACCAACAACAATGCTGTTTAACATGTGCTTGCTGAATGAGATGAGGGTTTACTGAGTAACGTGAGTCTCATCACAGCCAATACCTTATACAATCTAATTATAAAACGAATTCTTATAATGCTTCCAACAGTTTTAAACCTGAAGAGTGAGACCACACCTTCACGTTTGTACAGTCCTCAGTTAAGGTAAGGTTATCTACAGTTCCACAACCATTCAAAGAACAAACCATTGATAAAAACCACATATTTAAGGCTCCATTATGTAATATAGAGCTGAGAGCTAATGGATAAAAATATATGCTCTACTTATACTGGTAGCTATGGCTTGATTGTCTCACGGCTATTAGAAGTTGGTTCTTAGAATGTAAACCCTTTAAAGGCAAAATCACCTCATTGAGTTTTGACCCAGTAGTTCAACAATCATGAAGTCCACAGTCTTATTGGCAAAACTGATGTACAGTGTCTATAAGTCACTATGCTCAAGGTTAAGAGCGATGCATATTCCATTTTTACATTTTACTGGAATTTTACATGTTCAATTCATGATTTAAAACCTCTAGGTTTTCAATCCTCCAAACTGTCTGAAGACACAGTGTGCCACAGACTTAAGACTTCTGTTTTCCCCTCTATTTTCTTCAAACAGAAACATTTCTCAAGTGTCTACATGTTCTAGAAGGGGAATTTTTCGGAGGTGGCCTCTTCTTCGGAATAGTCCGACGGCATCAGGCCTCTATCAGGCGTAAACTTCCAGGCACTCAGTTCATTTTGGGCTTGTTCCAGTTTGTCTTTAGTCTGTTCCAGTTCACCTTTCATTTTTAGGAAAAACAAGTTGATGGCTGGGTCTACCATTGTTGATCTCAGTTGGGCAACACTGGGCTGCTGGACTTGCTTGAGGTACTGGATTTGAGTAGTACACTCTTGCATCTCCTGTTCCTTGGTTGCTAATCGCATGACAAGAATGTTTTCTCTGCGTGCAGACTCCTGCTGTTGCTGCTTTAGTTTTTCTTCAGATTCTCTTAAGCCAGTCACATCATTTGAATTGAGATCTGTGTACTTTCCCTCCAAAGCTTGAACATATGCTTCATATTGTTTCCATCTCAGAATTAACTCATCCCGTGCCATAACTTTGAAATCTGTTTCACTCAGACGGACCTTTTTAGGAAGAGGCTCTTCGTTGGTCATCTTGCACCCTTTCCAGCCCGAGGCTGCGCGGGCGCCGCCCGCCCCCCCGCCCGACCCCCCCCCCCCCCCCCCCCCCCCCCCCCGCGCTCCTCCCGCCGCAGCCCCGGCGCTAGCCTTTATTTGCGGGTCTCGCAGCCACAAAAAAACAAAATCTCATATGTAGTTTTTGAAGAGGATGAGATATAGCAAGTTAGCTGAAGTGCGAGTAATAACAATCATATGTAGTTTTATACAAGAAGTCTGCTAGTCTATGTCTCTGGGACACTCCCTGCTAGAGTTAACTGTTTATTAATTCATTCTTCTAAGAAAGTAGAACATTCAATCTGATATTCATTATGTTTACAATCTTTAGTTTTGCCTATAAATTTAGATATCGGTTTGTTTAAATCTATACTACATTAAAATCAGCATCCAGGTCATTTGAGTAATGCTCCCGACTTTCTGTGCTTTTTTTTTTTTTTTTTACAGAAGCCACAGCATACCACTAGGAAGTAAACATAATTAATTTCTCCTAACGTATTTTAAAGTGGTAAGGAAATTATACTTACTTGAATTAGTTTCGGCTTTCCGTATTTTGGATATACCGTTTTTAACATACAAATTTATATGATATAATTTTTAAGAGTTTGTTCCTTAAGCCAATGATGGTACAACTATTTGAAATAGGAGAAATTTTAAACCCAGAACAACTGCCGAAAATTTTTGTCATTTGTGTGTGTGCAGTCTCTAGCTGTAATGAAATAATACATGTCTTTTCTATTTCTGTCCTTCCATGTTCACAGCAGACAGATGCTGCTGTGGCTGCAGTTCTGGCATCAGCCACAATCTTGTTATCACGAGAATCTCTGCTCTAGGCACCGTAGGGACTCCCTGGCCCACTAAACAAGGCAGAGCTTCATGGAGAGTGTGATGTTTTCTACACAACATGGAAATTTGATATAGAATTTCTATAATGAGTCTTTGTATCAGTGTGTTCCCTTGATGTTCATTTCCTTTCAGGTAATGTTATTTTAATTAGTACCAAATGTTCATAACAAATTTCTCTGCAGTGGACATTGCAACAAATAAGAGATGAAGAAAAGAAGAAAAATGAATATAAAGGATATATTTACCAGCTCAAGAAATCTGATTTTATTAGAAACTCTAAGTTGTATCTAAAACCAATTTGGTACCGCATTTATCTCACTTTAGGTTCTGATATACTAATTATGTAATATCTATGATGTTCTCAGTCACTAAATACAGTCATACAAGTAAGTTAGTGTGCATTCCCAAAGGGTTGTAACTATTTTCCCTTCATCCATCCTTAATAAGATGAGGCAATAGAGTGGTAAATTCTCTAGAGGTACACAACTTCAAGGATGGTACATGGACCAGTATTGTTGGCATCACCTATAAATGTAATAATACAAAATCTCATCCTATTTTTCCAATTTATCTTCCAGACCAGATGAATCATAATCTGCATTTTGATTAAAATCCTACATGAGTAATGGCTTCTATTTTTTCTTTATACAGTGCTACCATTCTTAAATCCTTGTTCAATTATCATGTTTTGTTTTAGAAACAAGCTTACATCAAAGTTCACAAAAAATGAGGCAGGATCCTGGAGAGGAAGGATGATGTAGAAGAAAAAGACCATGTTTCTGTACCTAAGTCATAGATGGAGGTAAGAGCAACCTTGCTAGAAAGGAAGAGAAAACTTAACCAGAAAGAAAGAATAGGAAAAAAATACATTAAATAATAAATATACATTTTTAAAAAGGATTTTTAATGTGGTTATTAGTATCAGAACAGCTTCACTTAATTTTATAAAAGTGATGATGTATACTTACTGATTATATATCCTTTTTGTGGTTACTGCTCATCTTAGATAATGAGGCAATAAGATTATTATTATTTGCATCCAACTGCAGTTTCCCCCTCCTCTTCTTCTTCCAATCCCCCTCTTACAATTACATTCCCTTCCCTCCACACTCCTCCATTTCTTTCCAGAAAGATTTCTCCATGGGCCTCCCATGGCTAGCATCCAAACATGACATACCAAGTTGCAGTAAGACTATGTACTTCTCCCTGTTTTAAGGCTGGACAAGGCAACCCACTATGAGGAAAAGGGTTACAAAATCAGGCAAATTAGTCATAGATAGCCTGTGTTTCCATTGTTGGTAATTCTAGAAAACCAAGGTAAACCATTTAATATATATGTGGAGGGCCTATGTCAGTCCCATACAGGCTCCCTGGTTGTTGGTTAAGTCTTTGAGAGACCCTAAGAGCCAAAGTTGTTTGATTTTGTGGGCTTTTATATGGTGTCCTTGACCCCTTTGGCTCCTACAACTCTTCCTTCCCCTCTTCTTCAGGATTCCCTGAGATCCACCTAGTGTTTGGCTGTGGGTCTGCATCTGTTTCCTTCAATTGCTGAATGAAGCCTTTCTAATGACAATATGACAGACAGTTGGATAAGGCACCAATCTATAAGTATAGCAGAATATAATAAAATCATTTCACTGAATATTCTGCCAGTCATATTTGGTTCTATACATGGTACCTCATAAACTGAACAACTTTTGTAAGGCAAAGGACACTGTCAATAGATCAAGGCAGCAGCCTATAGAGTGAGGAAAGCTCTTCACCAACCCCACATGTGACAGAAGATTGATCTCCAAAATACATAAAAATCTCGAGAACTTGACATCAACAGGCCAAATAATCCAATTAAAATGGGTCACAGGTCTAAACAGAATTCTCAACAGAGGAATCTCAAATGGCTGAGGAACACTTAAAAACGTCCATGAGCCTTAGCCATCAAGGAAATGCAAATCAAAATGACACTGAGATTCCCTCTTATACTTGTAAGAATGACTAAGATCAAAAAATGCAAGTGATATGATATACAGCAAGGGAACACTCCTTCCTTACAGGTGTGAGTGCAGACTTATATAACCATGTTGGAAATCAATATTATAAATTTCAGAAAGTTGGAAACCAATCTATCTCAAGACCCAGCTGTAACACTTTTGGTCATATACCCAAAGGATGGAAGAAAGGACAAAAAAAAAGTGGTGCATTTATACAATGGAGCACTGCTCAGCTGTTAAAAATATAACATCATGAAATTTGCAGGTAAATGTATGGAACTAGAAAAAAACCATCCTGAGTGAGGTACCCAGACCTAGAAAGACAAATATGGTATGTACTCACTTATAAGAGGACATTAACTGTAAAGTAAAGGAAAACCATGCTAAAATCCACAGACCCAGAGAGGCTAGGTAACAATGAGGACTCACGGAGGTTGGGGGCAGGGGCTGTTGGGGACACATGAATCTCTCTGGGATAGATTTATAGTGGGTAGACAGAGTGGGAGATTCAGGTGTAGGGAGGACAGAGGGAGAAACACTGGGATCATGGGGTTTCTCAGGGATCAGCTAGAATCCTAGTACCGCTGAAATTCCCAATAATCTACAATGGTACTCCAGTAAAGACTCCTAGTAATGGGGGATACAGACCTTGAACTGGCCAGCTTCTGTAACCAGGCAATTTTTCCAGAGAAGTGACTGGGATACCAAGCCAGCAACAAAGCCTTTGACTTATGATTTGACCCATGACCGGCCTAAAAGGTATGCTGGGGTAAAGATGGCACTGAAATTGTGGGAGTGGCTATTACATGACTGGTCCAGCCTGAGACCCATACCTTGAGAGAGAGACCATCCTTGAGGGTCAGGAAACAGGGGGCAATTATATATCTTTAGAAAAACAAAGGGTTATTTATTCAATGATCATTTGTGCAAAAAACTATGTAGAGAAAGTAAAATAAACAGAAAGAAAGAAACAGACATCAGGTAGAGTGTGATGCTAGACTGGATATGGCTTTTATAACAGACCAAAGTCCTGACCTTCTAGAGTATCTGCTTTCCCCCCAAAAGTGTCTACATCAAGTCACTCTTGGCTGGTACTAAAAATAATTCCCATAATGATTATTCTGCAAGTCTTTCACCTTTCCATAATATAGTTGTTAAGGTCATGAAGTTATATATTTTTAATTAATGCTCTTAAAAAGCTGTTTCTGTGTTTGGATGAAAGATAACAGTTACTTTCTGATAATACTGTATTCAGACACTTATTGATCATCTGGGTATGAGAACAGTTTCTTTTCTCACAATGTGTTTTCCTAAACACAATCAAAGACCTGCTGACTGGTCAAAATTAACCAGAGTACTTCATGAAAATAATTTCCCAGTCAGTGTCTTTAAATACTGAGTGTAAGAATAATGAACTGATGTAGGGGATTCATGTTCACAAGATGAGCTACCAGTTGGTAATTAGTGGAGCTGTATAACACCCTGGTGACATAGGCATCTTTTATTGCTGCCATTTTTGTGGATGCAAAAGGGCAACAGAGAGTAATCAGCCTTTGGCCTCAGGGAAGCTACAAAATCAGCATCAGCAAAAGCCTGAATTTTCTGAGTGTCTATTGTGATGCCGGAGAACCTGGGCAGCCATAGCAGCCACCTGCTGGATATGATAAAGTTATTCAATCTCCTCGTGACTTGTTTCTTCATAAGTTAAATGATAAAAGTAATGCTATTTACTTCAAGTGGTTATTAATATGATTAATTATTAAATACATCCAAATACTTCAAAGTACCTAATATATAACTGATCAGCAGTTTTGTCTATCTACTGTATACATGATTGTCTCTGTGGCCGGGATATAACAATAAAGAAAAAAATCCCTTCCCTCATATGCTTGCATTCTCATTATCAACAGGACCATCTCTCCGCTTATGGACATTTGTATGTAAATCTTGCTTATGAACATACAAAAGCAGAACACTATGGAAACATACACGCCTTCTCTTACACTTTTTTAAAATTATTAGATGCAGTTTTGCAGTGATTGAATGCTCTTTCAATTTATAATAAATGAGTTATAAACAAAAAGACCATTTCCTCAATTCAGCTACAATATGATGGAAGTAAAAATACCCTGCCAGTCACTGATTCAGGTTGAGGGATGTAAGCCAAATGATCTACAATTTCATAAATGATTT